ATCTTCTAAACATTAGACTATCAGCCTTAACTGTGTTACTTCGGATAATGAGATTTCAGAAGTGCGGTTACTAAATTCTACCCTTATCAGCATTATAAGAAATATGCCACAATTCGCAATGTATGAGCATGACAAGCGTCTACCATATGATATTCTGCTTTATCCTATTTAGTTGACCTGTAACCCGGATGATCTCTTGTATTATATATATATATATATATATATATATATATATATATATATATATATATATATATATATATATATATATATATATATATAATATATTATATATATATATGCAAAACAACCACTCTGAAGGAATAGAGAAATTCCAAGCGCTTTCGTGACTACTCACATTATCAAGGAACTATGAAACTAAAACATCCAAGGAAGCTATATAAGGGGTCTGGCCAACACCTCACTATCAGATCCCACAACGGTTAAACACCTGACGCGCGCCGACCCAACTGGATAGGTCCTTTGCACAACTCACCCACAAACTATTCTACCCAAGAAAATTAAAAAAATATTATTTGTCCAGTGTATTATTAAATTCTTCCCAAATTCTATAAATTATAAATGGATCTAATTTATATAAACCAAAGGAAATATTCATATTATTGTCAAAACTGCTTTTATGAAAAAAGATTCAATTATATTCCTGTCGACCATGGACTTGCTTGATACTACTTTCTCAACTTTTTGAAAATCAATTGGATGGTTAAAATCTCTTACATGAATAAATAGAGCATTGGAATCTTGTCCAGTTCTAATGCTATATTTATGTTGTTTTAATCTTAGTTCGAGATTTTTACCAGTTTGACCGTAATAAACTTTATCGCAAATTTTACAAGGAATCTTATAGACACATCCATCAGCATTATGGGGGGAATTCTTTATCAAAAGTTTTTTTTACTGTATCAAGATTTTTGAATACAACTTTAATATTAAAAGTCTTAAGAAGAGAAGGCATATCAACCAAGTTTTCATGGTAAGGAAGAACCAACATATTTTTAGTTGAATAAGGCTGGTTGTCCCTTTTTGGATTGTAAAAATTATTTTTAGCAACTTTAAAAGATTTATCAATTACATTTCTTGGGTATTTTAAATCATTACCTATTTCATAAATTTTGGATATTTCCTCATCTATGAACTCAGGACTACAAATTCGTAAAGCTCTCAAAAACATTGATGAGAAAACAGACAGTTTGACTCTATCTTGATGCGAGGAATAATAGTGGACATAGGAACAGTTATTTGTAGGTTTTCTGTAAATTTTAAATTTGAATTCATTATTACCCTTAATAATTAAAACATCTAGAAAAGGCAATGAGTTATTTTCTTCAAACTCAACAGTAAAGTTTATAGAATGGGCTAAGCTATTTAATTTTCCAAGGAAATGGTGTATATCTACATTTTTGGGCATAAGACATAAAATATCATCAGCATATCTGAACCTTTTAGCTCTATTAGGGAGGATTGTGTTAAGCAACCTTGTTTCAAAAAATTCTTCCAAGTATAGGTTACTAAGAACAGGTGAAAGAGGATTTCCCATTGCCACACCAAACTTCTGAGTGTAAAACTTATCATTAAATACAAATTTTGCATCAACAATGTAAAGTTTAATAAGTTTAATGATAGTAGCAACTGGCAATGGTAAATCATTAAACTTATTAAACTTTGCATTGTTGATGCAAAATTTGTATTTAATGATAAGTTTTACACTCACAAGTTTGGTATGGCAATGGGAAATCCTCTTTCACCTGTTCTTAGTAACCTATACATGGAATTTTTTGAAACAAGGTTGCTTAACACAATCCTCCCTAATAGAGCTAAATGGTTCAGATATGTTGATGATATTTTGTGTCTTATGCCCAAAAATGTAGATATACACCATTTCCTTGGAAAATTAAATAGCTTAGCCCATTCTATAAACTTTACTGTTGAGTTTGAAGAAAATAACTCATTGCCTTTTCTAGATGTTTTAATTATTAAGGGTAATAATGAATTCAAATTTAAAATTTACAGAAAACCTACAAATAACTGTTCCTATGTCCACTATTATTCCTCGCATCAAGATAGAGTCAAACTGTCTGTTTTCTCATCAGTGTTTTTGAGAGCTTTACGAATTTGTAGTCCTGAGTTCATAGATGAGGAAATATCCAAAATTTATGAAATAGGTAATGATTTAAAATACCCAAGAAATGTAATTGATAAATTTTTTAAAGTTGCTAGAAATACTTTTTACAATCCAAAAAGGGACAACCAGCCTTATTCAACTAAAAATATGTTGGTTCTCCCTTACTATGAAAACTTAGTTGATATGCCTTCTCGTCTTAAGACTTTTAATATTAAAGTTTTATTCACAAATCTTGATACAGTAAAAAAACTTTTGATAAAGAATTCCCCCCAAAATGCTGATGGATGTGTCTATAAGATTCCTTGTAAAATTTGCGATAAAGTTTATTACGGTCAAACTGGTAAAAATCTCGAACTAAGATTAAAACAACATAAATATAGCATTAGAACTGGACAAGATTCCAATGCTCTATTTATTCATGTAAAAGATTTTAACCATCCAATTGATTTTCAAAAAGTTGAGAAAGTAGTATCAAGCAAGTCCATGGTCGACAGGAATATAATTGAATCTTGTTTCATAAAAAGCAGTTTTGACAATAATATGAATATTTCCTTTGGTTTATATAAATTAGATCTATTTATAATTAATAGAATTTGGGAAGAATTTAATAATACACTGGACAAATAATAATTTTTAAATTTTCTTGGGTAGAATAGTTTGTGTGTGAGTTGTGCAAAGGACCTATCCAGTTGGGTCGGCGCGCGTCAGGTGTTTAACCGTTGTGGGATCTGATAGTGATGTGTTGGCCAGACCCCTTATATAGCTTCCTTGGATGTTTTACTTTCATAGTTCCTTGATAATGTGAGTAGTCACGAAAGCGCTTGGAATTTCTCTATTCTTTCAGAGTGGTTGTTTTGCATATTCTGAAATCACCTGTTTACTGTGATCTTATTGCACACACACCACACACACACACACACACACACACACACACACACACACACACATATATATATATATATATATATATATATATATATATATATATATATATATATATATATATATATATATATATATATTTTCAACAAGTCGGCCGTCTCCCACCGAGGCAGGGTGACCCAAAAAAGAAAGAAAATCCCCAAAAAGAAAATGCTTTCATCATCATTCAACACTTTCACCACACTCACACATAATCACTGTTTTTGCAGAGGTGCTCAGAATACAACAGTTTAGAAGCATATACGTATAAAGATACACAACATATCCCTCCAAACTGCCAATATCCCAATCCCCTCCTTTAAAGTGCAGGCATTGTACCCCCCATTTCCAGGACTCAAGTCCGACTATATGAAAATAACCGGGTTCCCTGAATCCCTTCACTAAATATTACCCTGCTCACACTCCAACAGATCGTCAGGTCCCAAGTACCATTCGTCTCCATTCACTCCTATCTAACACGCTCACGCACGCTTGCTAGAAGTCCAAGCCCCTTGCCCACAAAACCTCCTTTGCCCCCTCTCTCCAACCCTTTCGAGGACGACCCCTACCTCGCCTTCCTTCCCCTATAGATTTATATGCTTTCCATGTCATTCTACTTTGAACCATTCTCTCTAAATGACCAAACCACCTCAACAACCCCTCTTCTGCCCTCTGCCTAATACTTTTATTAACTCACACCTTTTCCTAATTTCCACACTCCGAATTTTCTGCATAATATTTACACCACACATTGCCCTTAGATTCATTTATAATTAATAAAATTTGGTTAGAGTTTAATAATACATTGGACAAATAATAAACCTTATTTCTTGGGTAGAATGATTTGTTGGTGGGTTGTCGTGAGGACCTGTTTAGTTGGACCAGCGGACCTACTGCAATGTTCCTCTTTTCTTATGAGTCCGGTATTGTCCCGCGTCAGGTGTTTCTTTGTTGTGAGAGTTGACTGTGAGGTGTGGTCTAAGCCCTTTTATTGCCTTCCTTTGATGTATTACTTTCATAGTTCCTTGACAATGTGAGTAGTCACGAAAGCGCTTGGAATTTCACTACTCTTTCACAGTGGTTGTTTTGCATAATTTAAAATCACCTGTTTACTGTGATCTTATTGCATATATATATACATATATATATATATATATATATATATATATATATATATATATATATATATATATATATATATATATATATATATGTATATATATATATATATATATATATAATATATATATATATATAATATATATATATATATATATATATATATATATATATAATATGGTTCAGAGGGCGTCTCAGAACCTTCTTAACTACTACTGGCCCGTCCGTCGGGTATGATCTACTTCCACCGTGAAATCCTGCCTACCAGTGACAGTTTTCGTCTGCTGCGCGTCCCTCACCTGACGCCATTATATAAACGTCAATCTTCATGCCTGTGCTTCAGATTCTTCGTGACTACGTTACTCGTAACAATATCCAAGGCTGAGTAACAGATTACCTCATATTTTATATATATTTCTACTGTCTTCCAATTATATTCTTGAATTTTTATTGATAAAGCCACTGGATGGTGAAACGTCTACAATGAAGATACCCAGATGTTGCACATGTGTCTAATTCTCCAAGATATACTTATAGAAATGGTAGACTATGTACACTGAACACTGACTGAGGGTTACCTCGATGAACGTCTTTGAAGCATGACTTAGACTAAAGTATAGCTTGAACCATGAAAGACTAAGGTATACCTTTAAGAATGTGAGGTATACCTTTAAACAACCCTTAGGCTAAGACATGCCTTGAAGTAAAACTGAAACAGTAAGGTATACCTAAAAGCATGAAACTAAACTAAGGTATTCTTTGAGCATGATTAACACTAAAGTATACAGTATAGAATGACTTTTAGAGTGAGGCATACCTTAAAGCGATTGTCAGTGGTGTAGGTGAAGATTCCTAGGGTCAGAATGTGAAGATCCCGCTGTCTGATCCACGACACCTGTCACAGATAACCTAACTTATGAAACACATGGGTATTTTAAGTAATTGTAATAAAAATACGCTGCTGCTACTACTACTACTACTACTACTACTACTACGACTACTGCTGCTATTACTACTACAACTACTATTACTACGATTACTACTACTATTACTACTACTACTACCGCTACTACTACGATTACTACTACTGTTACTACTACTACTACCACTACTACTACTAATATTGCTACTACTATTAATACTGCTATTATCACTACTACGCTACTACTACAACTACTTGTCCTACTACTACTACACTATAACTATACTATTACTACTACCTCTCCTAATATTACTGCTATTACTACTTCTACTACTATTACTACCACTACTACTACTCATAATAATAAGTAATAATCGTCATTACAATAATAATAAAGTGATAATGATAATACTAATAATAATAATTAATGATAATTGCAATAATAGTAAAATAATGATAATACTACTATTCATAATAAGTATTATTAATAATAATAATAACAACAACAACAATAATAATAATAATAATAATAATAATAATAATAATAATAATAATAATAATAAAGTGAATTTTGGTAAAGAGAAACTTGATGAGAGAGAACATTTCAAAGAGATGAAACACTGAAGGTCACGCAGGAAGGAATATGATGAATAAATGTATAATGAAATCTAGAACGGAATACGTTAAGAGGTGAGATAAATAACATTTGACATGAGAGGAAAGAGGTGGAGGGAGGAAGAAGGAGAAGTGCTCAAGTTTGTCAAAGAAACAGTTTCTTCAGTTGGATTAATGCATCAGTGAAGAGTACTGCCAATTTTTTATTGTGGGTGTGAGGCATGGTCTTTGAACGTTTAATTGGGGGATGTGAATATTATGTAGGGTAAAAGAAATAAAAAAATTGACGCTTTGGTGTAATAATTCAGAAAGCAGAATAAACATAGCTGACACAGTTTTGTCATTCAGAAGGAAAGAATAAAATAAACAATACAGAAGGTGTAAAGAGCTGGGCTTGATAGAAAGAAATGATGGGAACGTCACGGGAATGGATGAAAAGAGAAAGTAAAAGATGTCAGAAGTACGGGCCTCATCATGCAATATTCCAATGAGTGTTAAATATAGGAAGGGATTCAGGTATACTGGTGGACGCGTGGGTCGTTGATTTTTGAAGATGGGAAGTATTGTTGTAATAATGATACACAATACCAACAAGTTTAATTTTCCATGTCGAAATGACCATCTTAAAATGTCTTATTTAAGATTGAGGGAGTGATCCTCTCATATTTACGTCTTCGCAGCTTCTGTTGTCTCTAGTACCTGATTCACTTTTATGTCCGACTGAAAGAAGCCTGTTGAGAGGGTGAAATGTTTCGACAATAAAACTACTCAGCTGTTGGAAAGGTGGAAAGGGCATTGCCAGCAGTGTGAAAGTTAAAAGGGAATGTTACGAGTTACTGAGCTTGACTTTTGTGCAATAATTAAAAGCTGCTAGAAAGTGAGTAGAACAGAATGAGTTTTCTTGATGAAATTACCTTGTATTATGAAAAAATCTTTGTTAAAATTATTATTATTATTATTATTGTTATTATTGTTATTATTATTATTTATACAATACAATAATAACAAGACATAACAGAAATAAATATTTTGTGAAATGAATCATTCAATTTAGAACCACTGCTTTAATATCTAGCATCTACTCACATCTTTGTTGCCGAGGTGAAGAACGCGACAGGGAAGTGTGGCCTTGTGGCCCACTACAGCCGTCACGTTGCTGGGAGAGACGTCACCAAAGTAGGCAGTGTGTGTGTTAGGTTGACCCCAGGTGATTTCTGGCTCACTGTGTTCACTCTCCCCACCTGCAATGTAAGCACACCTTGTGTTACATGTATGTTAGGCCGATCCCAAGTGATCTCTCTGGCTCACTGTGTTCACTCTCCCCGCTGAACGTGAACATACCTTGTGCTGTCTGTGAATTTTACTGACCCTTGGTGATCTCTGGCTCACTGTATTTACTTTCCCGCCTGCAATATAATCTCACCTTATGTTTCTGTGTGTGATGGGGATGGACCCCTTTATGGGTGCGAATACTAATTGTCCCTTGTGGGATTCCGCTTGTTACGTCTGCCCATCCTGGTTATCTTTCCTAACCATCACTCTTTGTCCTCAATAATGTAGATACGTTGTCATCCATGTAGTACCTAAAAAATTTATAAATCTTTGCTGCAATACAACTTCGAATGCCTTTTTGTTTATCATGGAAAGCAGAAATTTGCTTATTATTCTCTTCCCTGCTTTATTTATTTAACCTATAATAGAGCTCCATTAACATCGTTAGGCAGGACTTTCACTATAAAATTTTTTTTATGATCTAACCGTTCCCGGGGTACGTCATTTTTTTTCCTCTGATTCTCTTTTCAGTGTCTTGAACACAGCTTGCCAAGGATTCCAGTCACTAGTTACGAGCTTCGTATCTATAATATTGCTTGAATAAGAGTTTTTACATTCACTATGTTTTGTCTGTTTTGCATTTCCCTCCTAACAGCCAGTGACCACCTTCAGATTTTTGTTATTAGTTTACACAATGCTTCTTCCGTGGAATTACATTATCAAGTCCCGCTACATTTTATTTAGCCGGCTTAGTTACAGTTATTTTAAAATTTGTCTATTATGTAAGAATTTATTTTATTCTCTGTTGGTTTACCTTATATCTTCGTCTCGTTGGTGCTTTCATGAAAAACACAGTAATAACTTTGTTTGAATCGTCTGCTCAGGCCTTCATAGGTCTTGCCTAATTTATTCACGTTTTAGACTGCTTTGGTTTCTTTCACTATTCCCAACATTAAATTTTGGAATTCCAATTAGAAAAGTATGGTAGGCTATACCAACCAATAAAAACGTATGTTAAAAAAAAAAAACAGCTGTAACACATCTGAACATCTTTGCATCACTCGTATATCGAGTGATACAAAGATTACTTTATTTCTCAGACTCAATAAACTCAATTCCTTCCTTAACCTAATTACTTACTCCTTTAAGATCATATTGCTTCTGATGTGACTGTCTTGCAGCGTCAAATTTCATTTAACCTTTGTCGCTACAACAAACTCAAAGAGTTTTTTCCCTTTTCACTTACATACGCATACCTGTCACCACTGCAATGTTCTCAGCTTTCTATTATCCTCCCCTTTCTTTATTTGTCACTGTTTTGGCTCTTTTGTGCCATTCAGCTCTTTCTCTTCGGGTTAGGTGGACCGAATAATCTCTGTTCTGTACGTTGCTACTTCTCGTCCTTGGTATGAATTTCTCCTTGGCATCCAAGTGTTTTTCAGAAATGTACACCACTATCTTGATCACTGAATTTCCATTCATTTCTCCTTCACTGATTTTACGATAAGAAATTTCTAATATTTTCAATGTTGTCATCGTACATCTGCCTTTGTCTCCTGCTGTGTAATAACTTCTACTGTTGATAAATTAGACACATGCGCAACACTTGCGTATCTTTATTATGGAAACATTTCGCCATACAGTGGCTTCATCAGTCTAATAAAAAGAAGAATGGTGAAGATCAGCCCATTAATCAATATGAGAGACTGACTACCTCAAACTCCTTCTGAGCTTCAACATACTTCTTTGTATTTGACTGACGAAGCCACTGTGTTGTGAAACGTTTCCATGATACAGATACCCAAGTGTTGCACGTGTACGTAATTTATCAACTCGTCGTTTCTCTGAACCATTTATCTACACCTACTGCTGTTCTATATTAGGTTCCTTTACCATGACTGACTGCTGTGTAGTTTTAGCACACATCACTATATTCTGCCCAGCTCCTTGAATTTCCAAGTGGTCAATACGATCGTTCCTCCATATGTTTTTTAGCTTGTTCCATTCTCGTTACCTTGTACCCCGATAGAAATGTATTGACTAAACTATTTGTTTAGGATTTATATATATATATATATATATATATATATATATATATATATATATATATATATATATATATATATATATCGTGCCGAATATGTAAAACTGGTCAATTAGCAAGAACTCATTTAAAATTAAGTCCTTTCTAAAATTTTCTCTTATACGTTTAAAGATGTTTTTTTCATTAATGTTAATGTAAAAAAAATTTAATTTTGCACCAAAAGGAACTTAGAAAACTTACCTAACCTTATCATAACAAGATTATTATTATAATCAAAAAGAAGCGCTAAGCCACAAGGGCTATACAGCAATATTATATTATAACAAGAACAATTTATTTTAGCCTAACCCAACTAAATATATTTTAGATTTGTTTCCAATAATTTTATACTAAACAAACACAGTGAAATATATTTTTTCGTTAGGTTCAGAATGATTTTGGCGAAAATATTACATTCACAAATTTTCATTTGTTCTATATAGCAAGATGAGCGTTGCTATTTAAGCCAAGATCGCAAGTTCTGCCTATTCGGCACGACATTATATATATATATATATATATATATATATATATATATATATATATATATAATATATATATATATATATATATATATATATATATATATATATAATAATATATATATATATATATATATATATATATATATATATATATATATATATATAATATATATATATATATATATATGTCGTGCCGAATATGTAAAACTGGTTAATTAGCAAGAACTCATTTAAAATTAAGCCCTTTCTAAAATTTTCTCTTATACGTTTAAATTTATATTTTTTTCATTAATGTTTATGTAAAAAATTTTAATTTTACACCAAAAGAAACTTAGAAAACTTACCTAACCTTTTTATAACAAGAAAAATTTATTTTAGCCTAATCCAACTATATATATTTTAGATTTGTTTACAATAATTTAATACTAAACAAACACAGTGAAATATATTTTTTTCGTTAGGTTCAGAATGATTTTGGCGAAATTATTGCATACACAAATTTTCACTTGTCCTATATGGCAAGATGAGCGTTGCTATTTAAGTCAAGATCGCAAGTTCTGCCTATTCGGCACGATATATATATATATATATATATATATATATATATATATATATATATATATATATATATATATATACATATATATATATATATATATATATATATATATATATATATATATATATAATATATATATATATATATTACATACATATATATACATATATATTATATACATATATATGTATTATGTTATTTTTTTCTTTTTAGGTGTCTTGTTGGATACAGGTGAACATGCTTACTAATGGCGCAATCCATTCAGATCACTTCAGACATTCTTTCAGATCAGATAATGTTACATTCTTGTCGTCGTAATCATTGATTGCTGTTGTCGTCGTTCGTTGTTGTTCGTTGTCGCTGTCATTGTTGTTGTTCGTGTTGTTGTTATTGTTGTTGCTACTGTAGATGCACCTGATTAATGAGGAAAAATTAAGTCCAATCCAGAGAAAGAGAGGAAAGCTTCACCTCCATCAAGACACCTCCTCCTCTGAAGAGTCTTAAGATATAATCTTCCTCATTAATTTCACATCTGAAGTCTATGATGTATTAGAATCACTTTTGACTGGTCATTTAAGTACTTTAAGTACTTTAAGATAAGAAGAGGATACAATGCAGATCCTCGGGGTCTCATTATCCGCGAGTTATCTCATACTTCCTTTCTTTTCTTCCCCTTCTGTCTTCCACTCCCATAGAACTTGCCTATCCAGATGAGCACATTCCATGCAACAACTGCCAGCTGTTCCATTTTGTATGGCAGCTTCCTAAGTGACACTTTTTCAGTCCTTCTCTCTCCTGCTTTATTTCCATAAAATTTTAGGAGATTCTTGAGACTGGGTTTCCTATCTCTGGACCCGTGATGGTTGTTTCATATTCACCAATTCATTTTTAGGCGCTCTTATATTCTCTTTTAATATTTTCCAGTACATTAACCGGTATGTCAGCCAAAAGAATAAAAGTTATAGAACTATTGCTGGAACAAATTATAACTCTTCAACATTGTCTTGTATGGAACCGATACACTAATGACTAATATTCAACAAATTTAAATATACAGTGAAGAACATGCTAAGCTTAAATAAAATTCAGCTTTAATCAGTCACACTTGAGAGACTCCACGCAACTGCGTCTTGCCTACATGTAAACATAAAGAAAAAACAAATTGAAAAAAGCAAACTTTTATTTGGCTAACATGTCGCTGTGTAATGCGTTGTCATGTCATCAAAACTCTACACAGAGCAAACTAGGTCCACTGCAAATGTTGCTAGAACTTGAGTCCATTTTCATGCAAACTATACATGACGCCTCAACAAAACAGAGGTTCTTGTCATTGTGTTCTGGAAGCTCCATTTGTTAAGCATAAGCTCTCAGGTGCTGCAAAACATCACAACAACGCTATATCATAATTATCGAAATTACCTCTACCCTTCCTGAGAGTAATCGCTGAGGCATAGCTACTGAGAAACCTGGATCACGAGGCGTCACATTAAGATGCTAATTATGCAAGATTGCGAGGATGGTGTTATTGCTTTTCCGGAACTGGGCTGCTACAATGTTGTGGTAATTTGGGTCAAGGTTGATGGGTTTAAAAGCGTTGGTGCTGGATATTGGGGCCTGTAATGGTTAGTTGAGATGGTGATAGTGTGGTGGTGGCTGCAGTGATAATGGCAGCTGCTTCAGGTAAAGGTGAGTGTTTATAGTGTTGGAAGTGCAGGTGATGGTAATGGTGGTACCATCGATGGTGATGTTATAAATAATAGGGATGATGGTGATGTCATAAGCAGTAGCCACTTTATTTGATGGTGAGAAGTATCGAGGTTAGTGGTGGAGCTCGTGGTGAAAGCTTTTAAGAGGAAGTGGTGATGAAAGGTTTAATAGTATATATGGCGATGAAAGTATTAGTGGAGGAGTTGACAGTAAAAGCAATGGCGGAGTGGGTTGTGAAAGTATTTGTAGTGGATGTGGTGGCAACAGTATTAGTGGTACAGGTGAACGTAATAGTGGTGTAGGTTGTGTTGATAATATCAGTGGTGTAAGTGGCGGTAAAAAATTTTGATGTGATTAATGGTAGAGATGAGGCAAAACATTGGTGGTAGTTTGTGTTGTGTTGCTGGTGGTAACAAATGTGCTTGTGTTAGATGGTGCAGGTAGCAGTTAAAGTACTGGAAATTGCTGATGTTACGGGTGACAGTGAAAGTATTGTTAGTCTGTACTTGTGCAAGTAGTGTAAGTATCTTTGATGGTGCAGATGGTGTTGGTGGCGGAGATGGCGGTTATGTTCCGACGATGAAAAATGTAATATTAAAGCAATTAGTCTGGATGAGGTTAAGGGAATAAAGCGGCTGGACAAAATAACATGAACACATGCTGATTGAACTGTCGAACTGTCGAATGACTGAATAATAAATTACAATGTGTTCCAGGTACCTTTTAACATAAATTAAAAAATATATATCGTTAAACGTATAAGAGAAATTTTTAGAAAGGACTTAATTTGAGATGAGTTCTTGTTAATTGACCAGTTTTATCTATTCGGCACGACATATACATGTGTGTGTGTATACATATATGTATATATATATATATATATATATATATATATATATATATATATATATATATATATATATATATATATATATATATATATATATATAAAACAACCACTGTGAAAGAATAGAGAAATTCCAAGCGCTTTCGTGACTACTCATATTATCAAGGAATAATTGTTCCTTGATAATGTGAGTAGTCACGAAAGTGCTTTGAATTTCTCTATTCTTTCACAGTGGTTGTTTTGCATATTCTGAAATCACCTGTTTACTGTGATCTTATTGCATATATATATATATATATATATATATATATATATATATATATATATATATATATATATATATATATATATATATATATATAATTTTGTGATAAATTTAGGTAACGTTATGAGGTGGTTTAGTTAATGTTACGGGTTGGTATAGGAAATATGAGATGATTTACGTGGTGTTACGGTTGATTTACTTAGTGTTTTGAGATGATTTAGGTAAAGTTATTGTTGTATTAATGTTGATATAATTATAGACAATATGTTATGTAAAAGGACACAAGTGCAACTAATGTGACATTTTATTGTGGCAACGCCTGTAGCAAGACAGTGATAGAGTGAATGATGATGAAAGTGCTTCTTCTTGTTCATGTACTTCTGGGAAACAGCGGATGTCTTCAAATAATAATAATAATAATAATAATAATAATAATAATAATAATAATCATAAATAATTTTCTCTGGCTCTGGGAGGCTGTAGTGTAAGTGCTAGAAATTTAAAGTGAAAACGTGATCCGAAAGTAAAATTAATAATTTCCAGACCGAAAATAATTTTATAATTCTTGAAGAGGGCAGCTGGAGTCTCAC